GCTCATTTTTCGGCCCTCCAGACCTCAGGCTCCCTTAAAGAAATGTGGCAGCAGCTTTAGCAGATGTTTCCTCAGACCATTTTATTAGTCATTGTGTAGAGAGAAGTCTTTATCACCACTGGATTTAAGAAATCCAGAATATCCTCTCTTACTTGTTTAGCGCTAGGATGAACTAAATATTTTTCCTTCCTCCCTCCTGTGTCATCCTATGCCAGTCTTAGCCTCTCAGCTCAGTAGGTGCAGGGCTCTGCTCTAGGCACTGGGTGTGATACAGAGATATATGAGGTGCAGGCACTGCACTCAAGCAGGTAGTCCATTTTTATAGGGTCATTTATTGGAACGCGTATAATAACCTCTTGGAAAATGTGAAGTTAAGTAAATGAAGCAAAAGCTAGTAAGGTGAGTCGAGGCCAGGTTTTAAAGAGAAATGCAAAAGAATTTTCCTCAGGCCGTGGTAGGGAGAAGAGGGGTGTGCACTCAATCATTGATCGGCTTTGCTCATCTGAAGCCTGCGTTGAGCATGTACAGAAATGACAGGACTTCCAGCCGTCTCGCTCCTCCCTCTGTTTCTAACCCATAGGTTAACACTTGCTGTGAGCAGCATTAGGTAAATGGGGCCTGTGGTGCAGTCTCCCCAGATGCCTCTTCATCGTCTGATAAATGATACTTTTGTCTCTCTTTTTCTGCCATTCTCTCTCTAATGGAACTGTGTTATTATGGAGCCAGACTCTTTTCCCCAAGGGATTTTTACTGAGTATGAAGTAACTCATTCCCAAGAAAAATTCCTCTGTATTTTATCTCCTTGTGGGCCTCTCATAATTCTATTTTTCTATTAGTGGACCTTAATAATTCCAATTTGCCTATAGAATTTTCTATAGAATTGATTCTCTATGAAATATTTTATTTCTAAGTCATGTTTCCCTTCAGAGGACTTTATAACATGGTTGACATCTTAGTAAAACAATCGAAAATGATGATTGATATCTATGCTTGGTCATCAGAAAGAACACTGACCCTTAGGATTTGAGAATGAAGGAGAGCTAGCTCTAGATCTGGTTTTCCTAGAAGAGCAAAGAATGAAAATGTCAAAAAAGACAAAGGTTTAAGAGCTGGTTTCTGTGGTGCAGTATTGCTGGGAAAAATTCTCATTTCTACATTTTCTTACAAAAAGAGATGTAAAAAATAGTTTTGATTATACTGAAGCTTTCTTTAAAAATTTGTAGGGTTATTTTTGGCTTTCTAAATAAGGAGGTACTTGTACAATAGAAATGGTTTGACTTCTATTATTTTGGGCTTATTAAATTTCATAAAGGTGACAGGTAAAAAGTGAGTGGTTTAGCCCTTAACTCTATTCAAGATATTACTACCTAGAAGAAGTCAAGTCTGTGGATGGAGAGTAAAATGCTCTTATGTTTAATTCAGCATACATGAACTACAGATAGGATAGGCAAAATTTCGTGAAATTAAATCCATAATCTCAGATTTCCATTTTGTCCTAAAGTGTCTACTGCCTTCACCAAGCTTGAGATGTGAATTGGTGAGTTTTTTGTTTTATATCTTTTTTATCTGCTTACTCTGCCTCAGTAGAAGATAGTAAGGAACAATGGAATGTTCAAAACAAGCAAAAACATGCAGACAGAAAGAGAGAAGAAAGAGAAGCAAAAAGTTGGGTTAATAGCACACAGACATTGGTAGGTAGAGCATAAATAACTAAATGTCCACAAAAATAATTTTAAAGGTTCAAGTAAAAAATTGCAACTATAGCACCCTATAGATTGCAACAGTAACAATACCGTCAGTCTCCAACTAATTTACTTTTTTTTTTCTAGAAAGAAAAAAAGGGGTTGTTGAAGTTTATTTCTGGCGCCTCCACCAAACGTAAGCCCAGAGTATCCCCTCCAGCTTCTCCCACCCTGGAAGTGGAGCTGGGTAGCGGGGAGATGCCGCTGCAAGGAGCAGTGGGTCCTGAGCTGCCGCTAGGGGGCGCCCACAGCAGGGCTGGCTCCTGCCCCGCCGAAGGGGATGGTCCCGCCACGTCACTGGCCAAGTCTCTGATCCTGGATGCAATTCGTCGCAAGACTAGCTCCCTGGACTCTGCTGTTCCCATAGCACCACCTCCTCGTCAGCCCTGCTCCTCCCTGGGCCCCGTCATGAATGAGTCTAGGCCTGTTGTTTGTGAAAGGTAAGTTCATTGCTTTTCCAGGAGAAAACTAAGAAATGTATGGCAGGGTTTATGCTGGAATATTTATTCTGACATTTAAGATATTTCTCTACATCCTCCTCAGTTTTTCTTTTTTAACTGAATCTGTAATAATAAACAAGTACTGACTTTCTTTTACCACTTGCTGTAACATTATCTAGTCTCTGCTTTTCCCTCCTATATTTCTTACACGGGTTAGGCCTCCAGACAACCACTGCAGAATAGTATCCGGATGAAATTTGACGGTCACTGGAAACTTGCTCACATCTACCTCCTCTTCTTGCTTCTCTTCCATCACCAGCAGTCGCTCCCCTGTTTGATCCTTTGCCTTTTTTACTAGTTATCTGCTACTTGTCAAGCTACTAGAGAATTCTGCACTAAGAGGATTCTCTTTGATTCTTCCTGAGTCAGAAGAGTGTGGTTCAGTTTCAGAGACCTGTCTCCCCTCCTGACCCAGTGACCTGGTTCAGTTACACTCAGAACAATGAGCCCAGTTTTAGTGATTCTGGCCTTGAATAACATTACAAATGTCAGCAGTTCTGTTTGATACTGTTGCTGGAGTTCTAGGAGTGCGCTAGGAAAGGAAATATATTTAATAAGACAGATATCTACAGGACTCAATGAATTAAAAATGAAGCACTGTTTGTTCCCTAGGAACACATCTTGAAGTATACTAAAAATAGTGGACTATTTTCACATAATGCATAAATATATAAACATTTGTTTCGAAAAGTGTCATCTATTTTATTGTTTCTATAAACTTTATTCTCTCTGAACCTGTATTTCATAAATAAAGCAAATTTCTAATTTGTGGAAGTATTGCCTTTTAGGTGGCATTTCCTGTGTTACTGGTTTGAAATCTTACTAAAAAGTGTTATACTTTAAAGTAGCTTAAATTCACCTTAACCCAACCTTTCATCAAAATCTCTCAGTCCTTCATTTATATAATTTTTTGAGCCTAGTTTTTTTACCCCAAAATAAACTGGAAAATAATAAACTTCAAATAACCTATATGCATTGAGTACAAAGTACACAATTTATTATACATTTTTTAATGAAGTGAAATAATTTTCTGTCCTAATTCTTATAAAATCAGTTTTGAAATGAGACATTACCCTAAAAAGTGTTCTTTCCCCACAAATAAAATCATTCTCTGTCCCCTCATCTATTGTGCTCTTTGTAAAGCTTTGAAATTTTGTCTTGAATTCACATAATCCTTTATTCTGAGGGCAGTCTTTTTTCTTGCCATATTAGTCTGCTTTCCAGGGATAGACCCCTTCTGTCCCTGGAGTTGGTCCAGTGACTTGTTTACTGTCTTTTGGTCAAGAGGCTCCTCCTCTCCCCACCCCGAGGCATTGATCTGCAGTTTTTCCTTCGTGCCCTGAATGCTCTCCTCTTTTCCCTGTCATTTGTGGTGTTTGCGTTAGTGTTCTGAGTGCTCATTCACTTTGCCCAGACTCTCCCTAGGCGCTGGCTGGGGCACTGCTGCCTCCCACCCCATTGTGCATTCTTTTTCAGTTGCCAGATGTCCACAAGCTCTGTGGCTCCTGCATTCCGGCCCCTTCCTCTTAGAGGAGCTCATTTCTAACAGCAGGCTCCTGCTGTTCAGTGCGTCTGAAAAGGAGAACAGACAGGTGATGGCGGTTCAGGGAGCACAGAATGCACATCAGATAAGGAACACATAGATTTTAATGAAGGGACAGATGGGCACGGGCACTCTGGAATTCTCTGGAAGGTTTTTCATATAACCATTTCTGTTTTTACAAGTAGGAAAGAGGTCTTTGGAGAAGATTTGTGCCCAAGTTTATATTTTTATAATCCACATGTTCAATGGAAGATTAAGTATAATAGCCAGCCTGACCAACTTTTCACAGCCCCTTTGCCTTCATACACTGATGGTGATAGTATTCATTTAACAAGGATTCTTATATCTACCTGGCTTTAAAAACAATAGGAAAAATTTGTGGAAACAAGTAGTATAGGAAAACAGCCTTTACCCACTGAGAATGAAGTTATTTTTAATTAATAGAAAGCTACCAAGTATTTCATTTAGGGATTACGTGTTTTGATATTTCAAAAATTTCAACACAATGAAAAATACTTAATGCTAAAAAATGAAGGAATGACTTAGAAAGCATTTCAGGATCTTGAATTCCTTGATTCACAATCTAAATATCAACAGCTCCTGCCTTGGCAAAGTGTAGAAGCCTGGGGTTCTTTTGGTAGAATTTTCACTGATAGAATTTCATAGAACTGTTTTTCACTGTATAGTATTGGTATAGTATGAGATAGGATTCATCTACAGATTATGAAAACAAGCATAAATTTTCTTCTCAAACCATGACCCTGTTCCATAAATCTAAAGTACAAAAATGTGACTAGGGCAGCCAGTGCTGTCAGTGGAGAGAAACCTTCATGTGATACAAAGACTTAAGCAATCTCACAATGAGGAAGGATGAATGTTGAGGTGTGTTGACAGGTCTTGGTGTCAGCTGAGACAATTCTTTGAGGAACGAAAGGATTCTTTTGTGTTTGTTGAAGAGACTGAAGAAAACAAGCAAGAAATATTGCTATATCCTGGAGGCAGAAAATGTATGATTGACAATAACATTAAGAATAGAACAAATATTTTGGGCTTTATTTTAGAGAGACTGAGAAAAAATAATCAGAAAGTTGCAAACAGAAAATAGAAATAAAATATTTCAGAAGGGGTGGCAAATAAAAGAAACTATGACAGATTATTTTGTCTTCTAAAAAAATACAGATAAAGGGCTTAAGGAGACACAGCAAGTCATCTTTATCTGTGTATATTTTTAAGTTTAGGAATTAAACTGATAACCCATACTTATAAACCCATCTCCTAAATTAGAAAAGAACCTGTGATCTTTGTTCAGGGATTAAGCTAGAACACTTGGAAACATACGAATTGGATAGAGAGAGATTCAGAGAAAGGCAGTTGGCTTAACCAGCATGATTGATATTTGAGTCAGTGAAAATGATCCCACTGGGTGTAGCCGTGGACATAATTTACTTGGACTTCAAGCAAGCTGCAAAGTGAGTTAGTATGGTTTTGCCAGTGAAATACTTAATTGGATATTAGATTATTGCAGCAACTGGCAGAAAGCAGTAAATGGTTAGCCACCCAGACCAGAGCGATGGGCAGGGTGCCTCCCAGAGCCACAGAGGTTCCAGTTTGGGCAGTACCAGGTGAGATTAGAGACGAAAATGTATGAACTGCAGAGAATGTAAAAGAGACTAGAAAAATAAAGGAAATAGAAAAATTATACTAATAAAAAAGTGCAAGTGCCCATTTAGATGGAAGCCAGACACCATAGGCCAAACCAGGAAGATTGACATTAGGGTGTCAATGGAACTTCTTTCTGTAGCAACCCTCTATTTCTCTAATTACACCCTGGTAAATAACACCAAAAACTGAGTTAGAGCCCAGCAACCACCAAGAGGCAAAGGCCCATTCAAGGCCAAGTCTGTGAGCCACACTGTACCCTCCCCCACCCCCCACCCCCCACTGCCTCGCAGGTGCTCTGTGCAAAGCGCCCAAGAGGTGCTTTCCAACAGCCAAGATGCTGCTCAGCTTTGGATATTTTTCTTTTTTCTTTTTCTCTAATTTTTCCATTATTTTTATTCACTCACGGATTCATTCATTTATTTTTAAAATTGTGGTAAAATATATGTCACATTTTTTCAAGTGTAAATTCAGTGCCATTAAGGGCATTCACATTGTTGTATAACAATGTGTGTTGCTGTATGCATCGTATTGTATAACTGTCACTGTTATCCATTTCTAAAATTTTTCCATCATCTCAAACTGAAACTCTGCATCCAGTAATCAATAACTCCCCATTCCCTCCTCCCCACCCCCAACTCCCACACCTGACCCCGCACAGCCACCATTCTATTTTGTGCCTCTATGAGTTTGACCATTCTGTGTACACGTGAAATTGTGTAATTTTATCCTTTTGTGTATGGCCTTCTTTCACTTAGTATAGTGTTTTCAGGGTTCATTCATGTAATTTTTGTCAGACTTTTATTCTTTTTTAAGCCTTATACATTTTTTAAAATAGTTATACTGCACAATTAGGCCTTTTCTTCTTTGTCATTCAGTATGCTTATTTAGAATCATCCTGCGTGCTATGCCAAATGGTGTGAGGCATGTAAGTGAATTACCATCGTCTCACCCCTCAAGCAGCTTACAGTCTAGTAGAATAAGTGAGACAGGGATGCAGATGGCAATAACGCAATGTAAATTAGGCTAAGTGCCATAAAAATATGCATGAGGCCTCTGGGATCTGGTCAAGCATGACATTATTTCCAGTCATTGGGACCACAGATTTCACAGGGAAAATTGGAGCAAGGCTTTGCGAGGCATCGATTGGGTGCAGATGGGCAGAAAGGTCGTCAGAGGGAGTTCCTGGTGGAACCACACGAGCCAAAGTGTAGAGTGGGGAAAGTGAAGGCCGTATTTAGGGGACACATTCAGGTGTCGAGGAGAATTTGGTGTATTCATGGAGACAGTAGTAACTGTAGCTGTAAGGAGAGGCTAAGACCAGATCATTGAGGGCTTTCTATACCCTGCTAAGAGTTAATTAAGCTTACTCACAGACATTGATAAGCTGGTAAGAGTTTTTGAGCGATAGCTAGCTACAAGTACTGTTGCCAGTTAAGAAAATTAATATGTCAGTGTAGAATAGAATGGAGACAGGAAGAGATTTGAGGCAGGGGGATTATTTAAACAGGTAGATTATTTTAGTAGGTAGAAGATAATGAGTTCGTCCATCAATGATGGTGGCAATGACAAGGAAGAGGAATGGGTGGGGTGCAGATTTTGTGAGTGGATCAGCAGGTCCCTTGGAGGTCATGGGAGAGTGGTCTTTGACTCCTGAGGTTCAGAGCTTCCCAAAAGCCCTATTCAAATAAAGACAAGCATAATTTGAGTGAAGCAGAGAGTGGAGCAGCAGATGTGAAGGGCCTCATCAACAGCTGCACCTTACATCTGCTCGTTGGTCTGGAAACATTCTACTTGGCAGAGCCTTTCCATGCCTGAGATAGTTGGCCAGTTGTGCCTAGTATTTGGCCTTAAGAGTCTATATTAGAAATCTGTATGCAAACTGCCTCATAAGGTTTGAGGCCAGGATCGAAGCTGGGAGATTTCTGAATAGAATCTGTTACTGCTGCACCTGGTAGTCTTCATACAATCAAGACTGTGTCACAGTTTCCATTATGCACATGATTTCTCATTCCACCCCCCAGAGATTTATAACTTAGCAATAAAAATGTGCTCCCACTGGAAACTTAGCAGGAAGATTATGTTCTTAGCCCAGCAGCAGTTCTAGTTTGAAAAATTTTTTGACAAAATTGGTTTAGTGCATTTTATAAAATGCAAATATTAATCTAATTTACTTCAAGTTTTTCAAGAACTATTTTTGTTCCATTTTACCTTGAAGGCAACTCATAGAGAACTGGTGGGAACACATTTCATCAGAGATCTACTCTAAATGTGATCTGAGTCACTTGTACACTTTTTTCCAGAATTATAGAGCTTTGCTCAAATTTTAACTTTCCCCAAATGGCAACTCTTACATTGCTTTTTATGTAGATTTTTAGCCTGTTGGCAAGATTTGAGAAATCTCATCTGGATCCCTTCCTTCAGATAAGTCCAAGATGAAATTATTTGTCTCGCTTTTAGAGGTGTCAGAGAAGGGATTCCAAAACCTTAACTGTGCCATTCTAAAGTTTGTCAAGTCTCATCAGGCAGTTTTTCTTTAGGCTGTAGCTTGAGCCTGTTTCCTGGGTAGTGGTGGCCAGCTACTGACTGGCCCATTCTTCACCTCCTTGAAGCATCAGGCCTCTCCCTGCCTGCTTTTGCTTAAGCCATATGATCATAATGAGAGCTAGCATTTTAACCATTTGACAGACACCTTATTAAGAGCATTAAGAGCATCACACTTATAATCTCACTACATTTCATGATAATACCTGTTTGACTCACTATAAATCCTACTCTACAGATGAGGAAACAGAGAGAGAGAAAGCTGAGACCATTGGCCCAAAGTTAATCTGCTCCAAATGACCTTTAATGGCTGCGTCAACCCCCAGGCCAGAGCTTTCCGCACAATGCCATGCCTCCTCCCTCATTCCATGCTTGATTGAACTCTGAGCCTCATTGTCTGTAAATACTCATGTTTGAATTAACTAAACCTTCCTTAGAAATGATAAGCCTGCCTCTGTGCTGTGCTTTTGCTTCAGATCTTGGAGAATAATTTGGTCTGTGTGCCCAAAATACCTTAGAATTGTTTGAGAAACCGCATGACCTTTGCACAGATGCCATTTTAATAGAGTAAGAGCCTGGGACTCTTGCTATGGTTCTTCTTAGCGAGCGTGGATTCTGGTTTTTATGGGATGGAGATTGGTGACATGAGCAGTCCTCTGAAAGGACTAGGCTCTAAGCTGGGTTTCATGAGTTATGGGGCAGTGCTACTGAATTCGTTCTATCATTTTTTAAACCATAACATTTTTTACTTAGTAGTCAAGAGTGGACCCTGTAAGGCTATAAACTTACTTTCTGACTTTGAGAACGAAATGAAAGCAGAAAGTCAAAATCACCTTTATGACTGAATACTACATAGCATCAGAGAAAGATGTATATTCTCATTTTTTATAGTGTAACAAATTACCTCCAAAATTTAGTGGCTTAAAACGATAAACATTTGTTACGTCATAGCTTCTGTGTGTTGGGAGGTTGGGAGCAGCTTATCTGGGTAGTTCTGGCTGAGGATGTTTCTTGAGATCGCAGTCCACATGTCAGCCTGAATTGCAGTCATCTGAAGACTAGACTGGGCTGGGAGACTCCCTTCCAAGGTGGCTCACTCCCATCACTATTGGCTAGTTAGTTTTGGCTTTTGGAAAGAAACCTCAGTTACCCACCATGTGGTCCTCTCTATAGGAACGTTGAATTTCCTCTCAACATGGCAGTTGATTTTTCCCAGAATACATGATCCAAGAGAAAGTAAAATAGAAGCCACATGACTTAGCCTTAAAAATCACACACTGTCCTTTTCACAGTATATTATTGGTCACACAGTTCATCCCTATGCATTATGGGAGGAGACTGCACAAGAATCTGACTACTAGGAGGCAAGCTCACCAGGGGCCATCTGGAGGTTGGTTACCATACACCACCTTTTTTCCCCTTTGGTTGGGAAAAGCAAGAGAGGAGTAAAGGAGGGCAATAATGCTTGGAAAATAGAGAGGAATAAAGGATATGGAGCATAAATCAAGTCACTTCCCTCTGGCTTCCATGGCTGCTAACTATAATTTTGCAGAAGGAGACTAAGAAGCATGGAAGCAGGGAATAAATAATATTAAACCAACAAGGCTTCTGGGGTTTTGGGGTGGTAATTACAACTTTTCCCACTGATCGTCTGAGTTGAGAACCAAAGGAGAAACAGACACAGTTATCACACTAATGGAGGTCAGAATGCTCCCTGTCTAGATCTTGGCGCAGCCTGCCTGAGGGAGAATTGGGGTGGGTAAGGCGGATGAATTTCCTTAGATTTGCTGCCATATCCATGTCGAGCCCCAGTGGAAGGGACACAGAGAGACGGACTTCCAGACCCACTTGCGGAAGGCAGGCCTGATCCCTGATCACTCCGTGCTCCCAGCATGGGCCCAGAGGCAGAGCCAGAGGCCTCTTGGCCTGGAGTCAGGCAGTTCAGAGATAGGTGAACCTACCTGCTCAGCTACTTCTCTCAGTCTCACCAATCAAATAAATCTGCTCGTTTCTTCTTGGAGAAGAGGGGCAAGCCATTTCCTCCTGGGAAATGGAATAAAACTTTCCTTCTGTATGTCCAAGGTACAGACCCTGGGAGTGGACAACGTTGGCTCTCTCTGTAAAGGGCATTCAAATAAACCAGTCTGGGTCACCAATAGCAGACTGTTCCACAGATCCAAACTCTGTTAACGCCAAGTTTCTACTAAACAGAGAATAATTGTGTTTTGAGTTGTTTTACAGACATTTGAACAAATCATGCTACTTCCTATTCTGTTTATGTTTAAGGCTGTACAGACTAATAGTATACCATTTTTTCCCCACTATTTTGAATGGTCTTAACTAAAATCTCTCTCTCTTTTCTAGGCACAGGGTGGTGGTTTCCTATCCTCCTCAGAGTGAGGCCGAACTTGAACTTAAGGAAGGAGATATTGTGTTTGTTCATAAAAAACGAGAGGATGGCTGGTTCAAAGGCACATTACAACGTAATGGGAAAACTGGCCTTTTCCCAGGAAGCTTTGTGGAGAACATCTGAGGAGACTAACGTTGAGAAGGCTTAAAATCATATCACACAGCAAAATAGCACAACACAATGTAATGGAAAGAGCACATTTGTGGACTTCCAGATGGTCAGGAGATGAGCAAAAGATTGGCATGTGACCCCAGTGCCCCCCAGCACATTTAGACCAGCAAACAGCGTGACAAAGGCGTTTGTGTGGGTTTTGTCACTCTGGATTCTGATGTATAAGGTGTGCCTTGTACTGTCTGATTTACTATACAGAAAAGCCTTTTTTTTTTTTTTTTTAAAGATATATAGCTACAATGGACAATTGTTTACAAGGCTTAACTAATTTATTTGCTTTTTTAAACTTGAATTTTTCTTGTAATAGATAAATTCCTTGGATTATGATTTTAAGAAATTATTAATTTATGAAATGATAGCTAAGGAGAAGCTGGATTATCTCCTCTTGAGAGCAAGAGATTCTTTTTGACATAGAATGAACCTCCTCTTCTCCCCATGCCGGTGTTATTTTTTGTTTTTTTAAGACAAATGCCAGTTCTCTGATTTGATTTTCCTCTTTGGGAAATCAAAACACACGACTGAATCAATATCAATAAGGGCCTGGGGTAGGGAAACAGAAACTTGAGAAAAGAGATTAAGGATTGCCTGTCTTTCTGGTTTGGTCAGGAATCATTCTTAAGACCTAGTCCTCAATTTAATTTTGTGGGTTTTTAATTTTCCTAGAATGAAATCAATGAAGCGATAAGGAAGAGTAAAGCACAACCCTTGAACAAAAATATATTCAGAGATATATTTAGTTTTATAAGAGAAGCAGCTCAATTCATTGATTGGAAATTGGAAAAATTGAAGTTGTACTCCTGTCTGAGAATGGCTATGAACTGTAATTGCCCATTTTACCCCAACTGCTCTGCATGCCCAGGACACAGTAAAGCGTTTGTGAGATAGTGGTGGTAAGTGATGCACTCGTGCTAAAGTCAAAGGCTATGTAAGAAACACTGTGAAAAGTTTACATTCATTCATTGTGAGTCTTTTCCCACCATCTTGCATGTGTTACTGGATTCCCACAGTAATCTAGGCTCTGCATGGTGTGTATATTTCATTGCAATTTCCTGTTGAGATGAGTTTGCGCTCAGAATTGACCAATGCAGGAGCTGTAAGATAAACAGTACTCTTTTTCTCTACTCCCAAAGCCACTACTGACCAAGGTCTCTGAGTGCACTCACTCCCTCCCTGGCCAAGGCATCCGTCAGCCATGACACAAGTCATTAGTGAAAATGCTCCGTTATGTCCTCCCAGCTGATGGATATGAAGGGAGAGCTGGGAGGCTGCTCCTGTGACTGTTCTCTGGCAGCTCTAGGAGGCTTGGCACAAGTGAGAGTGCCCACACCTTACAATTGTGGCAAGACCCAGCTGAGCCCGTCTTTTTATATCCATTCTTTGATGTCATTGGCCTCTTTTACCCATTTCACTCCCGTGCCACGCAGTCGTGGGTCTGGGTAATCCTGAAAACAAGAGGGAAGACAGCCTGGTAGTGAATGAAATCATTGCCACAGTTTTCTCATGGATGAATAAACAAATACAAAAACGCTTTTCATATTTTGCTTTTAAGAATTACAACTGGGAAATAGAAACATGAACTGAAAAGTCTTGTAATAGCAGGAGGTTTCATGGTCTTAAAAAGATATATGTGATTGAAATGAAATCATTCCTAAATTAACCATTTTTTTATAAGACACTGTACATTATGTTCCTGTGTGTTGAATTTTTTTAAAAACACTTGGATATTCATGTAATATATAAAGTTTTGGTGAAATGAACTTTAGTTAGGAAAAAAAGCTGACATCAGCTTTCATCTGTGTAAGTTGACACCAATGTGTCATAATCTTTATTTTGGGAAATTAGTGTATTTTATAAAAATTTTAAAAAGTAAAAAGACTACTACAGGTTAAGATAATTTTTTACCTGTCTTTTCTCCATATTTTAAGCTATGTGATTGAAGTACCTCTGTTAATAGTTTCCTGGTATGGTTGGTTAAAATTTCACCTGTTAATAGATCACTTAGATAATATAATGTACGGGTTTTTCTATTGTTTTTTTGGAGACAGTAGGTGGAGATTTTGTAACGAGGGCTTGTTACACGGCAATAGGGTAATGATAAAATTGCAATTTATCATTTCTCTTCATGTTAATAATTTGAAGACTGGAGAAAAGGTTCAAGATTAAAATTTGATGTTCATCCTTTATATGCCCCTTGTGTCAATCTTTAAAATCGTTTTCTTTTTTTTTTTAACCTGGGACACATTAGACTTATTTTCTACTTCATAAAAATTCTGTGCATGATATCTCAAAGAGAAGTGTCCTCAAATAATCAATTTGGTGGTTGTGGTACATTTTATCTCCAACTAGCAAACCTTATTTGGTTAGTTCCCCCAAGAAGTTTAGTCTTCTTAAAGTGGTGTGTGAAGTTTCACCAGGGGTTATGTAACACTTCTGCTCCCCTCTCCCTCTTTGTGGTGGCTAAAACAGTCTGGCGACTGCTGGAAGTTTTGTCTTAGCCGTAGAAGGCGTACTGGACCTACAAGCAACTTGGGTCTCATCAAGGCTTGAAAACACAGTCTTTAGACTCACTGTGATTTTAATCTTCCATGGAATACCAACAAGTCGTAAGTTTAAAAGAACCACATATGTCATTTAAAAAAATATTTTCCTACTTTAACTTCAGTTACTTTAACTTTAGTTACTATCAAATTACTTATCAGAATGAATAATTAGGAATTCTACGTTGTATCATAGTTTTGCCAAAAAAAAACCTCTTTTTGTAACCATCTGGACAAGTCAGTTATTACTCAGTTTCCTCCTGTTGCTGGTCTGTGTACCTCCCTGAGTGAAGGTGAGGCACGCGAAGGAGACAATGTCACCATTTTGAAAAGTGCTATTTTAATATATGGTATTATTTTCATCTAGTTTCAAATATTTTATCTCGCTCCTTTGGAGTATATGCATCTAATGCTCTTACTGGGTCTAATTGGGTTTAGAAGGAACAAATTAAGGTGATGTTTCAACTGCTATGCATTTAGTTTTCTATTCATAATGATAAAAAGACAACTTTTTTTCATGCCTCTAAAAGTTCAGGTGAATGTTTCAGTCTAGAACTCTAATCATTAGAACTGAAGTTTGGAAAATACTTTTAATAGACTTTAGACTAAGTTGTACAGCTCACTGTATGTATCCATGTGAAATTTTTAGAAGTATTTTTCAAACCAATTAAACTAACTTTTTACCAAGGTAGCATCCTATTGAAATTCCTCCTTTCCTGGAAAAAAGAAATTGTAAAGGTAACACAGTAAATGAGAGGAAGTATAAAGAAGAGATTAGCCAGTGTCCAGGCCTAGCAAGGGCATGCTCCTCACTGTCCCCTGGGAACTCCAAGTGGGAGCAGGGTGTGTGCCAAGGGACTTTGCTCTGTCCCTGGCAGTAACTGTCAGCAGAAACAAGACGGAGCTGTTGGAGTGGGAACCAGCCAGTATGAACCGTGACAGCTTTAAGATACCATCCCTCTGGTTTATCATGAACGTTTCTTTTGTGTTTCCTGTTAATAACTTTTTGACTTGGCTATTTCCATTTCAAAAACAACCTTGATCCATATTTCCAGGAACCAGGGTGAAAGTACCTACAGTTGGCATTAATCTCTGCGCCACCATCCGATACTGTTATTATTATTATTGAGTCAGACTACTTTTAGCCTTAGTGCCATGTCCTCTCAATACAGCTATTGTCGGCTAGAGGATGAGGGGTAACCAAAAAATAAAAATAAAAATAAGACCTTCATAGAGCTGAAAGTGTGTAAGCAAGTAAGATGTAAAATTCATAGAGCCCTTGCCAGCACTGTGGCTAGAGGCTTTCTTGCTCTTCCTGCAGATTCTGGAGTTTTTCTTTCAAAAAATTCAGTTATTTTTGAAGGTGGAGTCTCTCAAAGACCCATTACTATTGGACATCAGTATGCCACACCCAACCGACCATTAAATTACAAGACCTAATTGATAGCTTAGTCTAATGGCAGTTGAAAAAATTACATTTGGATTGATATTTAAATGTTTGGGCATTCTGAATATATATGTGGGAGCATGAGAGAGAAATAAATTTCATTAATATCTATTTTCTAGAGCAACACTGCCCAGTAGAACCTCTGCTCCAGAAAGCGATAGGAATGTTCTATGTTTGTGTTTCCATTATGGTAGCCACACGTGGCTGTTGTACCCTTGAAATGTGGCTACTGTGACTGCAGAACTGAATCCCTAATTTCATTTGATTTTAATTAATTAAAAATTAACTCTAAATAGCTGTGTGCAGGTAATGGCTACCATATTAGACAGTACAGTTTTAGAGAATAAAAATCTGTTTTTAAATGATCATCCAAAAAAGGGATAAACAAAAATGTGATATTGCTATACTGTGTCCAGCCTCTCCTTTGGAGGTACCAACTTATAAGTTAAAATTTACAGAACTTGATTGTGTTAGAAACCCACCTAAGAGATGCGAAAACATCTAACTGAGCAGTGGAGATTATTTCTTTAATTTTGAAAAGCTTCTTCCTTCCCCTGCCCTCTAAAAAATAGATGAAGTAAGAGATTAGATTCAAGAAGAGAATTGGGGGATTCTGCTGAAGCCTTTTGGTGCGGCTGAGTGGACCAGTGCCTTCTCTGCAAGCGGAGGTCCTGTAAATTCCTCAAAGGTCAGGTCTTGTCTCTTCTAAGTGTGTCTTGATTTTAACATTCACCATGGTCTTGACTACACCAGGGGTCACCAGAATAAACACATGACTCCCAGAGCTGTTAAGATGATGATCAGATGATCCGCCTACTGTGAACTTAATGAACATTTTCTCAGCAGATTGAGGATAGGGTTTATAGAGAAAAAAAAAAAAAATGGAATTCTAGCCCTCTAATTAAACATGAAATGACACCTCTGGAACAAAGACCATGCTTCTTTTCCCCAACCCCTGGAGCAAGGTCAGTTCAAGTGAAGGCCAGTGCCTTATCTTTCCAATCACTACTAGTTCATTTCTTTTGCCAGTGGAAATTGAAAGCTTAATGGAATTACCTTTTCCCTTTTTTTAAGCACTCAAGAGTGCTACAAGACATAAAGCAAAAACGTCCTTTTGAGTAAAACCAATTTCCTTATAAATTATATCACAAAAGCACATTCAATAAACTCCCTAAAGGCAGAAACAAAGTAAAGACTGATGCTTTGCTGCCAGCTCACTCTTTAATACAAACTAATTCGATCATTGCCTGTGGTCTCAATTTGTAATCCCAACCCCCTTTCGTTTTTTCTTTTTAACTAAGATTTAGTAAGAAGTCCTGTTCAGGACTGAGTCTGATTGAGAATCCTGATTTTGGCGGGGGGAGGGAGGGTTCTATGGGTAAAAATCCTTTTTGTGTTTTAGGAGATACCAAGTGATAGCAGCACCAAATCTTGTGTTTCTTGTGAAAAAACTGGTGGCTTTAAACCTCTCCATTTCACATGAGAGCACCTTGGTTGTTAAAATCTTCTGTGTACAGTAGATAAAGATGGACATAGAGACTAATTTAAGAAGACGTGGTGCTTAAAAGTGGCTCATATTATATTGGCCCCACGATGCTCAAGCAGCCAAGCCCACGCAAAGTAGCCATCTGCAAGGACACAGGTCTAAGGTAAGGAGTGAGGAATTGTTCCTCCGTTCCTGTGTGGAAAGGGAGGTCTGGGCTCTCACAGATGTGAGGACTTATGGTAAGCTGCCTGCTCCCTCTTTTCCTCCAGCCACTATGGCCATGGGACAGTCTCCATATATAGCCCACACAGCTTGTCCTGGGGTAGCAATTGTGGATTCCTATGATGTGGTGATGGTTGCAGAAATCAAAGCTGGGCTTGAATTTCTACCCTTTAAGCTGAAATATTCTTTCCTGTGATTTATTTACCCACCACGACAGATGTGTGGGATTGGCATATTATCAGTCAGCCCCTGTAATAAACCTAAAGTGAGTGAAGCTTTCAAGAAGAGGGTATCGCAAAAGAAATGCTTCACAAAAGGAAAGCTGTAATAATCTCTCCCACCATCTAAATTCACCCAGTGGCTTAGGCATGAAGAAAGCAGACTCAAACTTATAAAACTGGACTCTTAGCCTTTGATTCTGAACGATTTCTTATGCCGGAGGATGCATTTTTTCTTAAACTTCGTTTTGGATTACTGCTTTCTTATCTCACTGTCTCTGTCTCTGTCTCCATCTCCACCTGCCCTACCCTCCTTCGCCACGTCCGTCACTTCAGGGAGGGTGTTGGCGAAGGGAGCTTGGCGTCTGGTGGAATATTCCTCAAACAAGGATCCTCATCTAGAAGTGGTCTATCGGCTACTCCCTTAAACTGCCATCTGAAGAGCTGTTGGGGTCTTTTTGTTGTTGTTTTTGTTGTTGTTTATTTTTACCTTTTCTCTCTTTAGTTTTAGTTGTATCGAGTCATTATCAGGATTCTATGATATAAAAGTACAGCTGAATCAGAGGGGAAAATGCCTTAAATGATTCCATTTAGATTTCGATTTTTAAGCAATCGAACTGTATTTTTCAGTTGCCTGAAATTAATACCTATATGCCCTACTATATTTCAAAACCAATTATATATTTATTGTGTGGGTTCTCACAAACCACTGTGTGTTTAGCTAGCACAATGATTGGTATTGTGAAAGATACAGAAGAAATGCCTTTTTATCCTGCAAATGTTTGGAGTAGCTTACAAAAACATACAATAAAAATGGCAAAAATAAAAATAAGTAAAATGTGGGATCATGGATAACAAATAGGATATCAAGAAATGGAATAATTAGGAGGAAGAAATGAAACACATTGTCCTTGTTCTCAAGGTTACAGTCTGGTTTGGGAGAAAGTACAAACTGAAAATTATAAGAAATATTAGAGGACAATGCATCATCATAGTAACTTTGAGGTAGAGATCACAAATACAGGATGAGCTCAGAGGAGAGAGAGAGGCAGGAGTAAGTTTTAGATAAAAAGCTAATAAGACCTGGACAATGAAGGGAGAAATTTTCAGCAGGTATCAGAGATCAAAGGACATGCTGGGGACAGGACAAGAGGCACAATGGCTCAGCAGCAGACATCAGGCTGGCACATTTGTGGGCAGATAGAAAACCCATGACTCATGTGGAAAATGTGTTTTGTTTTGTTTTGTTTTGTTTGTAGTTAAGTTAGGGCCA